TATTCCCTCTCCCCTTCCTGGTGGTTCCTATCTTCCCTCCTCCTGGTCACTTCTTCTTTCTTACTTTCTTATGACTTGAGCTCACAGCTCCGTGGCCTTCACAGCATAACCTCAATTCCTGCCCACATCCTGGATAGCTTCACTGTCCACACAGCTGATCCACCCACTCCCTGCCTCTGAACCCCTTGATCTCATATTCCCCAATGACTTTCTCCTCTACTCTTCCCCATCACATCCTGGCTTGTCATGGCCCTAAATTGCTCCTGAACCACTCTTTTTTATTTTAAAGTAACAAAAAGGGTGGAATTTAATTTTTATTTACAAGACTGAACCACTCATTTAAGCATCCAGATCTCTCACCCAAGTTCCTCTCCTTTCAGCATGACTGAGCCTTGCCCCCATTGACCCCTCCACCCATTGATTTCTGTCCTTTCTCTCTGATCATACATCATGTCAACATCACTTTTGCCAAGGTTTCCAGTTTGCTCCTTTTCCCTAGCAATTCCCTCACCTGAGCCTGCACCAGAGGAGATAGCTAAGCTCTGCCAAAGGAAACTACATAGGAGGTCTAATGGGCACCTTACAAGTTCAAGCCACTAATCAAGTGGGTTGCTGTGCTGCGTTGCCATTTGGCATGTTCTCCGGTCATCTCAGCCTTTCCATCTTCTGCAATGACCGTGTCAAGCCTCTACTCTCTTCAAATCTCTCATTTCTCCTTGCTCCACCTCCAGCTCTTGTATGTCATGGAGTAAGAGGAAGTTATCAGGTGGAAGGAGTCAGCATTCTACACCAAACCTACTAGGCTTAATCCTTATTCCCCCTTCTCCCTCCTGTTATAATAGAGGAGGTGGTCTCCTGCACGATGTTAGTCTTTCCACCCGTACTCTGGTTGCATTCCCTTCCATCATCACAAGAACCTTTATTGTCCATTGATCTCTTCCATTGTACCTCCATCTTTCTCTTCTCTATAGGATCCTCTCCATCTGCACTTAAACATGCTCAATTTATTCCATCCTAAAAATATAAAATAAAAAAATATAAACTAAAATAAACTCACCGCTGACATAATATCCTTCTCCAGTTATTTCTCTCTCTGATCCTTCAGTCAAACCATTTATGAGTTGCTTGTACTCAGTGCCTTCCATTTCTTCACCTCTCACTCACTCCTTAATGTTCTCCAGTCTATCTCCCACCCCTTTACTCCACCAGTCACTGTTCTGTAAGAGTCCCAGTGACACCAAGGTCACTCATTCCAGTGGAGGGTATTCAGTCATTTTCCTTGGGTCTCTCATCCATTTTGAATGTTGTTGACTACTTTCTCTTTCTTATAACCATTCTTTCCCTGGGCTCTGTGACCCAATCTTCCGAAGTTCCTAGTTTTTCTCCTGCCTCTCTGGCTGCTCCTCCACCCTCTCTACCAGATAGTTACCTCTGTCTAGTCTTTAGGTAAAGGTTCTTCAAGGCTCAGTCCTAGGCCCTCTTCTGGTTGAACTCTATACTCTCCTAAGAGACCAGATGGTTTTATAACCACTTCTACACCAGCTACTCCAGCCCCAGCCTCTCCTCAGAGCACCAGACCTACAACCAACCACCTAATGAATATCTCCATTTGGACATCTCACAGGCACTTCAAACCCACCTTGACCAAATGTGAACCTTGGGAAGGTTTTCTCAACCTTTCACCCTGAGGGTTCCCCAACTCAGAAAATTGTACCACCATTCATCTGGTTGAAGAAGCAGAAACCTGGGAATTTGCCTTGATTCCTCCCTATCTAAGTAGTCATCAGCTCTTGTTGGTGTCTACTTCTCTCCATTTGCTCCATTCCTTAGACAAACAGCCCATTTCATTTATAGCAACAGCTTAACTGTTCCTTTACCTTGCTCTTCCCCGTCCCCTAATCCTTATTCATATTGCAGTCAGAGTGATCTTACTGAGTATTATATAGACCCTTCATGATCTATCTCTCCAACTTCCCCCTCAAACACATCCCCCTTTGTAGCCTGAAACAGCCAGAAACTATGTTCCACTTTTCTCTTTACCTGACTAAATCCTACTCACCCTTCAGAGCTCAACTCAAATGTCACCTCCTTTTGCACTCCCCAGACAAATGTGACCTTATGCTCCCTTTTGGCCCATATCGCAACTGTAATTATATAATTGATAGTGCATTTAATTGTTAAGCCCTTCTCTTTCTAACCAGACTGTGAGCTCCATGAAGGAAAACTTTGTCTACCATGTTCACCACTCCAGTGCCTAGCCCTGTGCTATGCACCTAGTAGATGATCAACACATATTTGTTAAATATATGAATAATAGCCCTGGCCGGTTTGGCTCAGCAGTTAGTGTTGGGCCTCGGACCAAAGGGCTGCAGGTTCGATTCCAGTCAAGGGCACGTACCTGGGTTGTAGGTTTTATTCCCAGACCTAGTTGGGTGCAGGAGGCAAACAATCAATGTGTCTCTCACATCAATTTTTTCTCTCTCTCCCTCCCTCCCTTCCACTCTAATTTTTTTTTTCTTTATTGATGTTAGAGAGAGAGAGAGGAAGGGAGGGAGAGGTAGAAACATTGATGAGAGAGAACATCGATTGGCCGCCTCGTGCATGCCCCCACTGGGGATGGGCCCACAAACTGGGCATGTGACCTAACCAGGAATCAAACCAGCGACCTCTTGGTGCATGGGTCAATGCTCAACCACTGAGCCACACCAGCTGGGCTCTTCCACTCTATCTAGAAAAATCAATGGGAAAATATCCTCAGGTGAGGATTAACAAGCAAACAATATATATGTATATGAATAGATCTTTATCTAATGATATGGATTTAGGCCCCAACCCAAAAGTAGAGATTATAGCCAAGTGGGTGTGGAATTTAATCCCCAAAGACAGTGTAACTGTTACAGATACACTCCCAGCTGCATTAAATAATAGCTCGATGGAGAGAATACCCTTATTTTTAAAATTTCAGGGCCTGCTCAGTTTTTGGCAGCTGCAAAGGACACAAGCTAATTTCCTTATTAGCTACCAGCTGACATTGTAGCAGTTCCTTAACTAAAAACCCCTTGAAAAGTATGTCTGTGGATAGTGGGGATGCATTGAAAGGGAAGATACATATGCATAGAAACAATATACCAATCTGATAGCACAGAAAAATCTTCAGATGTTATTGTTGTCCAATCACAGCAATTAAAGAACAAAAGCTTAAAGATACTTTAAACCAAGGAACATGGACTCAGGGTTAATTATTTTGACACAAAATGAAGGACATAGGTTTCATTTGTTTATTAATTTATACTTTCTGTGGAGTTTTTAAAGATTTTCTAATTTCTATATTTATTTAAAATGTTTTATTAGCTTTCTAAATTATGAAAGTTAATATAACTGGAAAAATACAAAATCCAAAGTCAAAAATACAAAATTCAAAGGGTATAAAATTCATTTCCCTTCCTCCAACACCCCTATCCCACCCCTAGGGTTACTGTGGTTAACAGTGTGCATCCTTCCAGATGTTTTTCTATGAATATGCAAAAATCTAGCTTGTTTGTTGGATATTATGTATTCTTAGGAGAATCATGTGATCAACATAAAAGCAAAAAGGTCTGAAGGCTGCAAATTTTAAAACTTTCCTAGATCTGACTGACGGGATTCTAGTGGAATTCTAGCCCACCTGGCTCAGGGCACCCAGCAGCAACTCAGCAACTCCTTTCCCGCTGAGTTTAAGACTAAGTGGGCTGAGCTCTTAAGTGTCTGCTACGCCTACAGTAACAATTCTTTCCCCTTGGGCTAACTCCGCCTCAGAAAGGCTTCTAAAAATGCAAATATCGAGATATAAAGACCAAAGGAGGTGAGCTGCCTTTCAGGTGCGCCTGGGGCCAGGCTTGCCTCTCCGCAGAGCTCATCTGTGACAAGCTGGCTGCGCTGGGCCTTTTAAACCAGGGCAACCTCTCCTTCCGCTCGCTCTGCCCTAACCTGGGACCCCCAATATTGTGTCCATAGCGACTCAGATTCAACTTAGAATGCAGTGCTCTGGCGAGCCCGCGGGGAAGCTGGGCTAAGAGGGTGCGTCTGTGGTCCTCAGAGTTCTGGCGGGTCGGTGTCGTTGGCACCAAGTCCCCGTCCAGCCCCGGGGAGCGCGCGCGCGCTCGCGTGTGTCTGTGTGATCCAGTTCAGCCATTAGGTTACACCTAGATACACGCCCTGCCCCTTAGGCCCAGCCTCTGGGAACTTTGCGTTTTCGTATTCCCAAGACACCCATGGAACCTCGAGGAAACTTGCAGGACATCGCAAGAACTAAAACTTCCCCTTCAGCCACGTCCTAGGCAGCTTCATAAATCTGAAGATAAGGTGGCAAAGAGGGCACCACCCTAAGCCTTGGCATCGAGGGCATCATTTGGGCACCTAACAAGTGGCAGCAGGTGGTGGATGGGCAGAGAGCATTGGTGAAGTCCCACTTTGGCCGTGGTTCCCCCTTCCCCCACCTACCACGGTGGAACCTCGGGTTTTGCGGGGATGCACCCACCCAAGCACTTGAGGTATGGCGGATCCGGTATAGGTCCAGTCACAAACTGTCTCCAGCCAGAAAAGGTCACTAGAGCCCTCCCGAGGCCATGTGTTTAATCCACCAACATCAGACGTAGAGGAGCGACCTACAGCTGGAGGGATTTAGGTTGGACCAGAAATGGAATGTAGTTCTTTTGAACTTCTAGCTGCCCCGTTTTTCCGAAGAGTCTGCTTCCTGGGGTCCCAGCCTCCAGCTTAACCTTTTGCTTCCCAGAGGCTCCCGGGAAGCCAGAAGTAGCGCAAGCCCGGATGGGTCCTGGGCGCTGTCTAGTTGACAGGAGGAGAGCTGGGCCTTACCCAAACTTGGGGCGCGGGGCGGCGGGCGGGGCTGGGAGGTGACGTGAGGGGCGGTGCCGGGCCTGATAGGCTTGTCGGGCGGGGGCGGGGACGGTGCCGCGCCCCGGAGCCCAGGGCGGTGACTGGGCGGGGAGCTGGAACCCAGAGAGAGGCGCCGCTGCGGAGACGGCAACAAGTGCGGGAGCCGTTCCGAGCCGGAGCTGTCCCCGCCGCCGACATCGCCGGGCCGCCAGTCGAGGGCGCAACGCATGGAGCGTGAGCGGCGGCGGTCGCCGGGCTGAGCCGCGCCGAGCGGCCGGGACGTGGATGTGGCCGCGATATCCCGCCCCCGCCCCGCCGAGCAGGAGCTGCTCCCGGACAAGGTAGGGCCGGGCGAGTGTGCACCCTCGCCGCTTCTCTCCCCACTTTCTCCTCCCCCACGACTTCCCCAGGCCAGCGCTGCTCCCCCGCACTGCTCCCTGTATCGCCACCGCAGCCCCCTCGTCACTGGCCTCCCTCCTCTTCACCCCTAACCTCGTTCCTCGCCGGCTCTGGCTTCGTACCGGCGACTTAGTGGAGGAAACCGTCTCCAGGTGGCTCCGACCGCATTTATTGTCCTCCCACCCCCGCTCTGCGCTACCTTCCTAACCTTAAACTTTAAAGGAAGAGGATAATGAAACCCCACGGCAGCGTGTCTTTGGAGCTCGTTGCCCCATTCCACCCCCACCCTACCCCCGGGCCCGGGGATCGGGGACATCCCCCGCGTATGCTGCACCCCAACTTCCGGGGGAGCCTGCGCCGGGGTGCTGCAGGCAATGTGAAGGGGCTTGTGGGGCCGGGCGTCCTCTTCTGGGTTGCTCCGGCATTTAGGGGCGGAGGGCCGTGAGTGGATTTGCGCCGGCACCCTGGCACCCCACACTCGCATTGCGTTGGTCTCCCGTGCCGCAGGGGGAGATCAGGTGTTTAGTGAGCCAAAGAGGCGCCACGGCCGCTCCCCGCCCCCAGCTGCCTGCCACTGCCACCTCCGAGTCCCCAAAGACTGGTTTCTACGAAACTTAGGGAGAACCTTTTGCTTTGACCTCTAAAAAAATATTCCACAGTGCCGGCGTTGAATGATTAACCAGGCTGAGACCTGAGGAGGGGGAAGGGTGGGTGCTGCGGGAAGCGCGTCCAACCAGCCTCTGCCAAACACCTCGCGGGAGGGTGGGCGCTGAGACGCTGGGTGGGCGCTTCGCGCGGGCTGTGGGCGCAGGTCCTGGCCGCTACCGGGCGACGACAGGCGGTTCCTTCAGGAGTCAGTGAAACCGAGTTACCTTAATTTTCAGGCCGTGGTACTTTACACTCAGCCCCGCTCCCCATGAGCTCCCCCACAAGTGCACAGCGCGAAAGCCCATCTGTGAAAATAACATGTACATTTTAAACCCGGGTTGTCGAGGAGGCTCTCTTTTGCCAGAAAGGTGGGGCGGGGGGTATGCTTGTATTTGCTTCCCTACCCCCGTGGCCTCCTGAACCTCCGAATCTTCCTGGAACGATAGTTTAAAGCAAATATATCATGTTCTCCTGCCCCTCCCTTGTTGGAGGCTTGCTTTACATTTCAGATTGCGAAGCCAGTTGGTGAATATGGGCTTCTACTTCTTATAAAATTTTTTTCCAGTGTAATTGTGTCTCTGGAGGTGATGGGATGGTTAACGATGAGAGGCTGACTGGCCAGGACTGGAACCGAAAGGCGGGGACCGAGGTGATCCCAGTCCAAGGGCTTTCCAGCCGTCTGGTCTGAGGTCGCACCCATGCAGATCTTGACAGCTGACCCAAGGGCTGGGCGGTCACTTCCCACTGTCCTAGTTCCCACTTCTGTTTCTTTTGAATAGAGGTTATTAAGCCTGGTGGAATTTGGAAGAGTTACACAGAGTTTCTGTATTCTTAAATCAGATTAGATTTTAAGACCAGATTGAATAAACCTTTCCCCCTATGCCCAGCCTTTACAAATGTCTTTATCTTTAAATCCTTTTGAAATTACTTTTTCCGTTTGGAATACTGTGTTTCCCCTTAGGAATCTCCCTTCCAGCAGGTGCTCACTGCTCTCCATTTAGTTTTAGTGCAGATGGTAGGTGTATGGTGAAAGGTCTAATTTTCCACAAAAGTTCAAAGTTCCCACCCTCACTGTTCACTAATCTGGATTCTGTCAGGTACTATTCGGTAACCCTGGGCAAGTTTAGCATCCCAGCCTCATTTTCCATATCTAGTTTGGGGGATGGAAAGGTCTGCTCTAACAGATTGTTTTTGAGGACAAATAGTTGTCAAACACCTAGCTTTGCATCATGGCAGTTAAGTGCTTAATGAGTGGTAGACATTGTGTCATCGGTACAGAAGGTCCTCCATGCATCAACTTCCCCTTAAACAAAAAACAGTAACCGGTGTGGAAATGGTTTGGATTTGTCTGATTGAGGCTGAAACCAGCCAAATTTGGCAGATGCCGATAGTTTTTAAAGACCAAGGAATATGGTAGTCTTTTGAGGGATATAAACATAATATACTTGTAAAATTCATGAATTGATTTTTTCCTGGGTTTTTGATGGAGGATGAGTATATAGATGAGTTGTAGTTTTGAATATTTTCTTGTTATTTTTATTTTTTAGAAATATGGGACGCTTCACGAATTTCATGCCATCCTTGAGCAGGGGCCATGCTGAGCTTCTCTGTATTGTTCCAATTTTAATATATGTGCTCCCGAAGCGAGCACTGAATGTTTCCTTGTTTTTAAAAAATAACAATTTATTTCTCTAATTATAAGATACTAAAGTTGCTAAAAAATAGAAAAGTGGAACTGGTAATTTATGGTTGATTTTTCCATTGATTTTTAGAGAGAGAGTAGAAGGGAGGGAGGGGGGGAGAGAGAGAGAAACATCCATGTGATAGAGACACATAGGTTGGTTGCCTCTTGCACACTCCCTGATGGAGGCAGGGATCGAACCTGCAACCCAAACATAGGCCCTATTCCAGGAATCGAACCTGAGTGCTTTCTGTCTGCGGGCAGATGCTCTTAACTGCTGAGCCAAACTGGCCAGGGTTAAATGAGTGGCTTTTTTTCTTAAAATTTTTTTTCTTTATGGATTTTTAGAGAGAGAGGAAGGGAGAGGGGGAGAGAGAAACATCGATTGGCCACCTCCTGCATGCCCCCACTGGGGATTTGGCCCACAACCTGGGCATGTGCCCTGACTAGGAATCCAACCAGGGACCTCTTGGTGCCTGGATCGATGCTCAATCACTGAGCCACACCAGCAGGGTGGCATTTTTCTTTTTTTTCAATAAAAGAGTTACATTAGGAAATTAATGAGAGTCCAAAAAAATTATTAATCATTTTGCTTTACATGATGCATTGTTGGTATAAAGCTAAGATGTTCTTGATAGAAATGTGTGGGACTTGTAAAGCAGATTCAGGGATAAGAAAAAAGGTGGTGAAATCTTTTGTTTCTCAAAGAAAATTTAAAACTTTAAGTTTTAGTTTTCTAGTAATGCTGATTTAACACAAAATCAAACATAAGTTAGGGATGCTGACCTGGAGCTGTGAAAGTGCCTGAAGCACACTCTGTTCTTAGCATCCTTGCTCATTGTTTTTAATTCTTTCCCATTTGCTTAATAGCTACAATATTTGACTCTATTCATGGTTTTTTTTGACAGTTTTATTGGACATTTTATTAAAGACAAAATTAATAAATGCAAATGGCTACTTTTATAAACATTGAGATTCTTGCATCTGGGCTAATATTCGGTTATGTAATTTATTGCAACACACCAATGGTGGTGTATAAATTACCAATACTAAATAATTTTTATAAAAGGCCTTTTGATCTTATATATGCAAATGCCCAGGGGAAACTAAAATCATTTCAGTCAATTGTCTGACATTTCTAGTTTGTACAGAACGCTAAACTGTGAATTAAACCGGACTCTGACAATTTGAAAGTTGAGTTTCCTGGCTTGAATAATTGAAAGCACTTAGTAAAGACCACAGCACATAAACCGGACAGGTGTGGATCCAGCTGCCTTCTCCCTACCCTCCAATGTGGGATAACTATTACTAGGTGCTTGCCAAGTATGTCTCCACATTGTAGGATGGATAAATTCTTCCCTCTCGAGAGGCAATTACTGTTTGAATAGGAGGTGTATGCATAATAAGAGGTGGGATAACGCTTTGAGAGAATTGATGTAATGATTTCATCATCAAAGGCTGGTGATGAGGCTTTGCTAGTCTGAACAAAGCTTCTGTGGGAAGAACTTGTTACTTGTGAAGAATTCGTTATTAGGGCATGGAAAAAGTTATTTGTATGAGTTTTCTATTTGTTACAATTCTGAGTTGAGATTTTGCACTCACCCTGTGTTGCTGCCACTGTGAGTTTTATCCTTTTTGCCCATTAGCTTTGTCTTCTTGTCTTAATTTGTGTAACAAAACTCAAACTTCTTTGGAGAGTTAGTATTATTGATACATTTATAACAAATGTCTGGAAATATTTGGTGTAATTTTAGGTTTAGGTGTTTGCATAGATAGCTCTAAGAATGTTGTTACAAATTATTTTCTGTACATCTATGAACATTCCCTTGGAGCAGGGTTTAAAATTGTTTTTATTCTCACGTGGCCACAGAGGGGAAATTCCCACTAGCCAGGAAATTGGTACTTTCTACTTTTCATTCTGCGGCATTTAAACATAGATTTATTATTCTGGTTTCTTCACTCTGGTGTGGTTAGGATGTATGTTGTTTACCAGAATGTTTTTAAAAACTGATTTTCCAAGAGAATCAATTCTAGATTGTGGCCATGTTCTGTCAGTAGCCATGCGGTGATTTAGTTGTTGAGGGCATGAACGTGGAATCCATCAAATAAGGTTTTTTTTTGTTTTTGTTTTTGTTTTTTAACTTCAGGTATAGCATACAGTAAAGTGTGCGAAGTGCACTAATATTAAGTGTGCAATTCATAAATATGTGTCCACTACCCATCAAAAAGTAAACATTTTCAGTAGCCCAGAAGGTGCCTGTGCCCCTTTTTAGTCAGTCAGTATTTATCCACAGAGGGAACTGATATTCTGACTTATATTATCTTAGATGTGACTCATGTCATCACAGATTGGTTTTGTCTGTTCTTGAACTTCACATTAGTGTAATTACAGAATCATACAGTGTGTAGTGTAGTCTTTTATGAAACAGACCGAATTTGAGTTTCATTTTGCAACTTACTGTGTGACTGTGGTTACTGTGTGACTAAATTACTTAACCTTTCTGAGCCTCAGTTTCTTTCGTTTTAAAATATGTTTTCATTGATTTTTAGAGAGAGGGGAACAGGAATAGGGAGGGGGAGAGAAAGAGGGTGGGGGAGAGAGAAAGAGAAAGAAACATGAGAGACATACATTGATCAGCTGCCTCTTGCATGTCCCCTACTGGGGATGGAGCCCAAAACCCTGTCATGTGCCTCTCAGTGCATGGGATGACGCTCAACCAACTGAGCCATGCTGCCCAGGGCTGAGCCTCAGTTTCTCCTTTGTGACAGGGGAGTTAAAACTCCCTATTTGCTAAAAAAATTAATATGATGAAACATCTAAAATACCTAGCACTGTACCTGACATGCAGTTTCCTCATTCCCATTTTATTTCTTTAAAAAGGTAATAATAACAAAAGCAACTATATAATATGTGTTTTGATAGCTGTTTCATTATAAATTTATAAATGTTTCTCATGGAAACTTAGAGACCAAATCTTGATTCAGCACTTTGTTTATGTAGTATTTAGCTTAAATAAGACATATAATTTCTTGATAGTTGATCCCCTATTATTTTTAGTTGACAGTTACTCTCTAAGTCATGAGATGACCGTCATTGAAATGTTCCATTCAGAGATGACTGGTCATCTGTGTGATATAATCTAGTGTGCAGAAGAGTGCAGTGATGATAGCCAATTTACACTCTATTATAAGGCCCATGGAAGAGTTTACTTTTTTTTGTTTGTTTGTTTGTTTGTTTTGTTTTTTTATCCTCACCCGAGGACATTTTTCCATTTTTTGTTCAGGTAGATTGGGAGGGAGAGAGAGGAACAGAGAGAGAGAGAGAAACATCGATGCGAAAGGAACACATCGAGTGGCTGCCACCCGAACAACCCACCAGGGCCGGGGACAAACTGCAACCGAGGTACGCGCCCTTAGTGGGAACCAAACCCGGGTCTCTCAGGACCGCAGGCCGACGCTCTAACCGCTGAACCAAACCGGCCAGGGCGGAAGAGTTTACTTTTGATAAGAGGAATCAGTAAGTGTCCAGGATGCCCAGAATAAAATTTATAACTTTATGTTTTGTGAAATAATTATTTCAGAAATGAAAGCACAGGGCCAGTTGTTAATTGCATGCTTCAGACAAGCCATTTAAATGTTTTCATCTTACTCTATAATATGAAAATGTTATAATCTTACTCTGTAAGTGATATATATTCAATGTTCAATGGCTTCACATCCCAGTGTTTTGGTAGTTTTATTGGATACTCTTTTGGGAGCCATTCAAAAAAATTTTTATTAAGTTTATTGGGTGACATTGGTTAATAAAAGTATATAGGTTTCAGGTATACAGTTCTATACTACATCATCTGTATATTGTATTGTGTGTTCACCACCCAAAGTCAAGTCTCTTTCCATCATTTATTATCCCCTCTTTACCCTCTTCTACCTCCCCCCACCTCCCTTTCCCTCTGGTAAGCACCATACTGTTATCTGTGTCTATGAGAATCTGTTTTATTTTCTGCTTAATCCCTTCACCTATTTCACCTAGCCTCCCAACCTCCCTTCCCTCTAACATCCGTCAGTCTTTCTGTATCTATGTGTCTGGTTTTTTTTTTTAATCCTCACCCGAGGACATTTTTGCATTTATCTCCAGATAGAGCAGGAGAGGAGTGGGGAAGATAGAGAGAGAAACATCGGTGTGAGAGAGTATGTGTCTGTTTTTATTTTGTTCATTAGTTTATTTTTTTTTATTAGATTCCACATATAAGTGAAATCATATGGCACTTGTCTTTCTCTGACTGGCTTATTTCACTTGGCATAATACTCTCCAGGTCACAAAAGATAAGATTTCCTTTTTTACGGCCACATAGTATTCCATTGTGTTAATGTACCACAGCTTAAAAAAATTTTATCTTTATTGTTGAAAGTATTACAAATGTCTCCTTTTTATCCATTTCCTTCCCCCCTTCCACAACTTTTTTTCTTTATCTACTCATCTACTGATGGGCACTTGGACTGCTTCCAAATCTTGGCTATTATAAATAACACTGCAGTGTTTCTTTGGATATAGTCCCAGAATCTCTGGGTCATATGGCAGTACCATTTTTTAAATTTTGAGGAAACCCCATACTATTTTCTACAGTGACTGCACCAGTTTGCATTTCCACAGTGTATGAGGGTTCCGAGGGTTCCCTATTCTCCACATCTTCACCAACACTTATTTTGTTGATGATAGCCATTCTGACAGGTGTGAGGTAATATCTCATTGTGATTGGTTTTAATTTGCATTTCTCTGCAAATTAGACTATCTTGAGCATCTTTTTATAGGTCTGGCCATCCGTATGTCTTCTTTGGAGAAGTGTCTATTCAGGTCCATGCGCATTTTTAAATTGGATTGCTTGTTTTTTTGGTGTTCAGTTGTGTAAGTTCTTTATAAATTTTGGATATTAACCCCCTATCAGACTTATCATTGGCAAATATGTTCTCCC